TCGGACAACTGCTAGTCGGCCGACTGCGAGTCGGTCAACAGAGAGTCGGCCAGATTCGCCGACTGCGAGACGGACAGGGCCGGCGACCATTGTGCGGGCGCCTTCGGCGGACGCACCTCCAGCGAAGACACCTTCTGCGCAGATTGCGCCGGAAGGGCAGGCAGCAGAAGCGGGCGGTGCAAAGGTGACAAAAGTCACTGCGGCGTCGATCCCTTCGGAAACCGAAGATCGAGCCGGAACAGGGGCTCAAGCAGTGGGATCCCCCACTGCCTTGGATATTTTAGCAGGGAGTGGAGCGGCAGTTGCGACGGAAGCTGCCGCGCGCCACAGTTCCAGGGAGTCGCCAAGGGATTTGGTGGCGACTGAAATCCTCGAAACGGAGGATGAGACGAGTTCGGAAGAGCAGGAAGCAGACTCTGTGCAGAAAACGCCAACAGGGGTGTTGTGCGAGCAGATAGTTCCACTCCTGCGATATCTGGATCGCAAGACATCCAAGTACTCGGGTTCCGGAAAACCGCAGTCTTACGTGGAGACTGTCAAGCGCAGGGCGAGGAGCAAGGTGGCCACTTGGGCCTCTAGGTGCCAAACATTGCAGGATAGGAACACTACCCTCCGACAGCACCTGGCGGTCACGCAGAAGCTATACCAAACCCTGCAACAACAGAGGGAGGATGCGGCGACGAAAAACCAAGCGGATGCCGAGCTAATGTGGGCAAAGATCGAGTCGGATGTGCAGGAAGAGCGGAGACAAAACCGCATCTTAGCAGAAGAGCTTGCGCGCCAGAAGCGCGCCTTAGAAGAAAGTCAAAGTACACGCAAGGAGGATGAGGAATTGTTGCGCAACTTGCAATTCGAGTGCGCGGATTTGAGGGCGCAGCGCGCAGATGCGGAAATGCAGCTAGCAGAGGTGGAAGGCAGCTGCCGGACGCGAGAAGAGTTGGCGACGCGGGTGACTCACTGTCTAAAAGGATACGCCCATTGGGAGGTGGCAGCTCAAGAGAAGATCACACTCAGGGAGTTTGAGCTTCGGGCGGCGGCATTGACGGAGGGTGACAGTCGGAGTCGGCGGCGAGTAGCAAGGAAATTAGAAGCCTTCTTGTCGGGTGCGCGCGACACTATGGCGCACTTGGAGTCGGAAGTGACTGCAGCCCTCCGGCGTCTGGGGTTGCGCAGCCGGTCGGAAGATTGGCAAGGTAGGGATAGAGAGCGAGGCAGTCCGGCGCGCAGGAGGCGCAGCACCGGATCTGCAGAGTGCAGTAGCGTAGTTTGGTTTCGTGCAGGTGTTGCAAGTAGCAGATAGGATAGCGTAGTGTTAGTTAGGACCTTAGAGGGTATAAAGTAGATCAAGGCGTTTTGCCTTGGGACTCTTCCGGTTTCAGAAGTGCAGATCAGGAACTCACTTTCTTGGCGTGTTTGTGCATTTTGGTCCTGGCACCACGTAGAGAAGCTGCAGCATAGCGAAGTTACCGTATGTTGTAGTTGAAGGCCTTCGGCTGAATGTTCAGAGCTAGTACCAGGTTAGAGACTTGAGTAGTGCGGATTTGCACCTGCGGGTGATTTCTGATGCTTAGAGCCGGCTGCGAGTTAGAGACTTGAACAGTTCCCCCTTACTCCTTCGAGTGACATATCCTGATTGTACTCCTACGGGAAGTTTCCCCTGAATGCCAAAGTGAAGTTTTATTACTTCGTGTAAGCCTTGGTTTGCAATTCAGGTTGTGTGTGTGTGTTACTGGATTGTGTCTCAGTTAAGTTCTCAGTTGGGCCTGTACTCCCTGCGTTTGGTGTGAGTCGAGGGTGACGTCCACGGCGTATGAAGGGGCTTCGTTCCGAAGTGGGAAGTCCAGTCCGGGTTCCCTACGCTAGTTCCTGGCGGAAGGGCAGTAAAAGCCGGAGTGGGAGTCACTACCTGCAGAGCCTCTGAGTGAACTTTTGAGACACTTTCCCCCTTAAATCTTAAGCGGAGGTCCTGACCGACCTCCGAGTTGTGCTTTTGCCAGTTTCAGGTGTGTGTGTGTGTGTGTGTGTGTTGAGTGACTACGCTGCACTGTGCATCCTCCGAGCATCCTCCGAGTCGAGCATCCTCCGAGTGACATCCGAGTCGAGCATCCTCCGAGTGGCCTCCGAGTCGAGCACTGCAGTATTTCTGGGAGTGACAGTCGCCTGAGAATTCAAACTCTATAAAAGTCTGTTAAACGTGACACTTTTTACTCTGTGTGTTGCCTCTGTCCTTGTGGGTTCGATCTTTTTACCACCATACTGCAGTTTTAGCCTTTGGTGGGTTATTACACTAATGCATTTGCATAGTATCTTCATATCTTGTAGCAAAACGTTGAAAAATGATAGATGTCTTTTACCAGAAGTGACTAAGACAAGTCAAAATCATATCACTTGGAGCATAAAGTTACAACGTAATGAATCCATGTGATGAATGATAATATTGAAGCCATTAATGTATGATGGATAAATTCTTTTCCATTGTCGGACATCTCCGAGCTCCATGCAACTCAAGGTGGTACAGTTGTTTGTACACTGAATAGAGTTACTGGAATTTCGAGGATGCTATATGGGAAATTGTTTTCTCGATGCAACAACTAGACATGTTTCGAGATAGATTCTATCGAACTCAGCAGCGTCATAGTTCTATATTCATACCCAAATGGTGAATAATTTCTTCCTAGGACCCATACGCTGCATTCCAGAGGAACACGCATCAAGACAGCAGTCACGTTCAGCTTAAGAGTCGCTGGTGGGATACACTTTGGCGATTTTAGGTGTTTAAGAGCATTCTAAACAATCATTCTCAATCACCCATCACGATCTTTCTTTTGCTAATCTCTGCAATTCGGATTACTTTTTATTGTTCTCCTACCGTTCAACTTGATAATGTTTACCCATAACTCTAGACGGACATAATACTTCATAATTCCATGAGAGACCTAAAAAGCAATCTGGTAAGCGCTCATGCGCTTGGAGGATTTTGTAGGATTTGCATAAGAGGAGAACAAACTGCGCAGTTTTGTTTTCAAAGCTTCGTTTGCACGCATGCCTTTAGACTTATGAATTACCAAATGACATATCTCGCTTTCCAAGTTCAAGATTAATCTTGTGGGCATCTGATGAAGTGAAGAAGCCAAAGTATTAACAAGGCTTCTGAGAACATTCAACTGACCTCAGGGTTGGCTCAAAATGGGTGTTAAAAAAAGAAGAAGAAGTTAGTGGCGTAATTATGATGGACTCTGCAGTTGAGGTTTTATCCTGTGTTTTGTACTTTTTTTGGTACTATCCCACAAAAAGATCAAAAGTATCCAGCCTAGCATCTTCACATTCTTCTTCTGTGGAGTGAATATGATGAACTCTGCAGTGTACTCATTGTCCTTTGCGTTGTACTAGTTATCTAAGTTCCCATTCAAAGTATCAAATTGTCTAGCCCAGCATCTTCACTTTCCTCTAGAGTGAACTTGTGTGATGTCAATACATGCCGGAACTGAGAAATAGAATACTAAATAAATGCCAGTTGGACTTTTACAAATTTTGAAGATATATTTTAGGTTGTGTATCATTTAGAAGAAGTGATAATATTGTATATTTTTCTAGAATTTGTTGCACTAAAAAACAATGCAAGAGATTATGTAGGAGAACCTACTATCATCAGGTGAGTGCAAGACATTTTCCACGCATACGCTAGTATGAAAAAATATTCCTAGCAAACCATCCAATGAGAGGTTTGACCTACCATGTCAATGCAATAATTGCATACCAAGTGCAACATTTTAATAAGGTTATCCTACAAGTTTACTAATAAACACAATTTTAAATTTGGTAACAAAAATTTAGAGAAATGTGCTTTACACGAAAGAGAAATAATAAAACACATGCATTAACACTATTGAGCCTAAACTCTTTTATTGGATAGGTAATGTGCTTTTATTTTCTCATTTGATTTATGATAGGATATTGCAAAATTTATAGTGTGACTTGTTTCATTTTAGTTAATATATATCAAATAATTGAGTTTCCATGTATGTTTGAGTTCTCCTTTAGACATTAAACCAGATGCTCATTGCAAGTCATGACTCAGTGTTATCAGCCATTTAGCCTATGAGGTATTTTTTCATGTCAGCTATAGAAAATAGTTTTCCTTCACTTGCAAGCAAGTTCAAAAAAAGTTAATATCTTGAGGGGATTGACTATGACACTAGCAAGTATCATGCTGGTTCTATAGTGTTCTATACGACGTGATAAAAGAACAGGAGTGTTCTTAGCTCGGACGAAATCTGATTTCACTTTCATGTTTGAAGTCGAAAGTTCTCCAGATTCTAGTGTTAGAATTTGCAGTGTTAGACAGTTGAGGTAGAAGAACAATCATACCAGCAGCTGAAAACCCCGAGTATTTGTATACTCGAGGTATTTGTACACAGTTCTTTGATATTATGTTTGGTAGACTTCCAGAAAGTTGATCAGTTTGTTCTGAACCTACGAGTTATGTAGAGTAATGTAGACTACTGTACCAATCTTCAAAGCAAGAAAAAAGCACAACAGGCTTTGTCCTCCGAGCTGACAACCCATGTGCCTCTCAGTTGTCAGAATACATCCACTTGTTTGAATAGATTATAACTTCCAGGAAAAAATCGTAATGAAGATTACTATTGGAATCTCTGTTGTCAGCGTGACGAGTGCCTGAGAATTCTGATCCTCTCACTGGCACAACAAAGTCAAGATTTACTCTGAACGTCTAAGAAAATTTTCCAATCACACCGAGTACAGAGGAATACGCTTGTTGTGCTGGCATGTTGTCGTTACCTCGATCGCTATCACGATTCGATGACAAGATCTGATTGATGACGCTGCATTTTTCTTTTAAGCCCTACCGATAGCGTCTGTCTTATCTTGGGTTTTGATGTAGCTAGATTCGCATTCTCCTAGTCCAGTTGTAGATCCAGTTTTACAGAACTCAGAGTACTTCACATCCGATATATCTGCGCTTCCATGTATGCAATGACATTCTGTGTCGACATTGCACAATCTTTGCTACAAACTAGTCCTTTGGATTTAAGATTCTTGGAAGGTCACCGGTGCAAATCAAACAACTCTCTCTCCGTTTGATTTCACAATAGGTTTGTGTTCTTGTTAACTCACCATAGCAAACGCTATACACGATTCTTTTGAAACCAGAATCCTAGTTCTCTATGTTCATTTTGATTCACATGGCTTGTAGTGCCCTTCACTGAGTTCAAGTACCGTCCTGTTTCCACTTTGCAAAATCTTCTTGTGTTCACTTTCACAATCTTCCTGCGCTCGTGGTGATGGCTACTGATCCAATTCTGTGAATAGGTTGGATTATTCTTTGTGTCGCTCGTGATGCAGAGTGCAAGAAGTGTCATTCCCAACATCCACATGAATTGTGACGCTGCGACGGGAAGTTTAGTTTTCTTCGGGTGAACCGGGCCTGCGGATCGAGGAGGGGGCCTCTTGTAGTGCCGGTTACATTTCGCTCGCGCGACCCCAACCAGCAAACGTTTCTTCCTCTGTGGTAGCGGAGGTTAGAATGGAAGGTGCCTCCATAGTCAGTCACGCTGCAGAGATACGGGGAATGGACTCCGCAGACGAGGAATCGGAGCTTCCCTCCGCTGTCAAGAACCTTATACGACATCTGGAAGGAAAAGTCGAGCCTATAGATTGGCTTATGTGTAACGCTTTAAGCGGGGAAGAATTTCGGGATTTCTTTCCGGAGCGTGAGTCGCTCTCGACGATAATAGGGTGGCGAAGCCAAGTGCGCCTTCTAGTGCTGGAGACAATCGGCAACTGCAACATGCTTCGGGATCTAGATTTTTTCTTAATTTGTGGCGGAGATATATCGAGGTTGACCGCTAGCGAGTGGGAGATAGTGTTGAAAGGTTTCAGGTTTAGCACCGTTCTAGAAAGCATACTCATTCGTGATTTGAAATGGAGTTCAGATGCAGAAGTGGAGAGCTTGTGTTTACAGATAGGGAAAATTCTGAATACCTCTAGCGTACAGAGTTTGAGCATAGAACATTGCAGATTGAGTGCCAGATGTTTCTTGAATCTCGCCTCAGGACTGCGAGGAAATTCTGACTCTCAACTCCAGTCTTTAAATTTAGATGACGCGTGGGAGGAATCGAGTGCGGCGAAGCATGTGGCCGATATGATCAACAGTGCTTCTCGATTAGAAGTGTTGTATTTACTCCACTTGGACGCCATGGAGGAAGAGACCGTTGGAATCCTGTCCCAGGCTTTGATCCAGAGCTCGTCTTTAAAATTATTGTGCTTAGATAAGGTGGACTGGGGAGTGGCCTTGTTGCTGAACGCTTTGGCCGGAGATGATGGCAACCGATCCATTGAACGTCTTTCTCTGGGGAATATGGATGGACTCGGAGGCTGTTTAAGGGAACTTCTTACTTCCAACCCATCATTGAAGGAAGTGGAGTTGTACCGGTTGCAGATGAGTCCTGAGGAATGGCACCAGCTCGGCGAATTCATACGTGACAAGGTTAGAGCAACAACTACAACTGTAAGGTGTTACTTAGACCAAAATGATAGAGATGACTGGAAGTCAATAGAAACTTTTGCGTGTGCTGCTAGCTCTGATGTCAAGGACCCCAGTGTGGAGCTTGTACTCGAACCTTTGAGTGACCAGGAGTTTATGTTATCATTAAACCTATTAGGTCGGGTACTCCGCGGGGAAATCAATTCCCTAAAATCTTTCCATATATGGGCGAGACATCCTCGCACTTCAGGTACCAACCAAGATAGACCGGAAAGTATGCTCCCGATGAATGGGAAAAGTGGAGAAACTTCAGTCCTGAAGAGACTGTCATTAAATGTTGAAAGCAAAGGTCTTTGGAAGGACCTGCTTTGGTGCTTGCGAGGGAACACAAGTCTCACTCACTTGGATTTGTCAGACAACGAAGGGGCAACCCTTGACGAAGAGGCGTTCAAGGACCTGATGGGCCTATTGCAAGTCAACTTGACTCTCCAGGAAATAGATGTCTCGGACACCTCATGGGAAACGGACGGAAAGGGGGCGCAGATTCAAGAGGCATTAAAGCAAAATCAGAAGCGGGCATCTACATCAGAGAAGCCAAATTAACATTTGGAGATGCAAAACTGGTCGAGTCTTCTCATGCGGCTTTCCTAGAGCAAGTAAGGTGCTTTGTCAATTTTCAGTTATTTTTCTCAATGTATGCAAAGTAGCAATCTAAGGCTTTAATTTTTAAAAATTAAAACAATAGACATAAACTTTCTTTTGTATCTCTAGATGTATTTGCAGTCGTGTGAAGTTTTTTTTTGGGAAGAAAAATAAAACAAAAACCCATATCAATTCGAATTATAAATTTCCTGTTTTGTTCAAAATTGCTAATAATTTTAGACAGTCTTTAAATGTTTGATTTTTTGTTATTATAATACTATCTCGCATTCCATTCTAGCAACTTATCATACTTTAAATGAAGAATAATATTTTTTTAGGAATTTTACATTTTGATGAAAAATTAGGAAGAATTTGAAGTCTTTTATGTAAATAATATATGATTAAAGGATATATTATCAAGTAATTTATAAAATATCTCGAGTAACAAGTTGTATGCTTTGTGATTTTTTTACCTCAATTTATCAGGCAAGACTAAATGGCGTCAAACCCTGATGAGAATAATTCAAGGCAAAAGTTGGCTTGGGGCTAAATGGGATCACTTGTGGCAAACAAGAGGCATTGAAGTGGAGATCTTGCAAAACAATGACAAAAGTCAAGCTTCAATATGGAATCTTGCGGGTCAAGAGATGTTTCGTACCCTTCAAAGTGTGCTATTCCTTCAAACTTGCAATTTCTGTATTCTTCTATTTGTGTATAGCTACTTCTGTGAAAAAATTAGAAGCCTGTTTTCAGACAGAGTTGGAAGAATAGTTGAGCTTCATCACATCCAGCACTCAGCAGGATCATGGGATATAATCGTCCAGAAGTTCTTCTTGTGTTTTCACACAAGGATAAAATCAAATCCAGCTCTTTGACTTGGCCTCATTTGATAGTGCACAAGCTCACCAAAAAATTTGCAAAGTTTGTTGTCTCCACCCTATTCAAGAGTGTTTGCATGTGGATGCTAGGAAGAAGATGCAAGTTATTCCTCTCAAAAATCACATTTTTGAGATATTCGAGAAGTTGTTGAGTGAAAAATCCTCACGGTTCCGAATTGTGTTCTCAACTCTCGTTCCTCTTGGTTTCAAATCCAAGAACATTAATTGCCATCTCTGGTCATCCCAAAAGTTTTATGACTTCTGTGCTCCCATCTTGACACGACACATTCATCCTCCTCTGCTCATGCTGTTGATCATTGAAGTATAATGAATTCCATAGTATCCTATTTGAATGACATTGGATCCATTGTGTATATACCCAACCTTGATTATATTAGGTGAGCTGGTTGCTCTAGGACATCATGACAAGCATATGTTTAGTCGCTCATGGAATATGAACCTTCGTGAAATCATTCTTGGAGTTTTCACATTAAGGAACAAGCTAGATATTAAAGACTAACTAGAGAACCCACTCCTTCAACATCTCATGATTTGATGCACATGCTCTCTCAATAGTGTGATTATTCTGCTCTAAGTACCTGAACTGAATCTCCTCTGGTCCCTTACAAAATCTTGACTTGGATGATAAATATCCGGAAACTTGGAGATTTTTCAAAGAGTAAACCAGATAATTGAATTAACTCATTGAACTCCCTAACGAATCTTGGTAACTACAAGTTTCGGCTCCAATTATTTTTATAAAAAATGTTTTGGTGTTACTTTATTTGATCCCAAAAAATTTGTATCATAATTACTAATGCATGTAAACATAATGCTCATTTGATAAAAAAGAAGGATAAATAAATTTTTAGCATAGATTTGAGATTTGTGCACATAAGGTTCATCATATCCATCTTCTTAAAGCTTTTTACTTTATAGAAATATGTATTATAAATATAGGAATTAGAGATTGATGAATCATAAATTTAAAAAACACATTTATATAAGTTTTGTGCCCTAAAAAAACTGTACAACGAATTTTTTGGAATTTAGTTTTAATAATATATTGAACTCTATATATTCTTAAAACTCTATATATACTGATAACCATCAATCATCAATAAAAAATATACAAAAAATTTCAAATTAAAATGATCACTTCATTCGATTATTTTCAGGGTAATTCAAAATAAAAAGAACATGAAAATAATTTGTTCGTATTCATAATTCGTGAATAACAAGCAGGCAATCAGTAGATCAACTCTTTTGAATAGATTTTTTATAGTCATTTGTAAGTAAAGGTATAATATACTGATTTGAAAACATATTAGTTTTAATTACCAAAAGTTTAATGCATTTCCATGGAAAATGTTAATATTTCCTAATTTATCACGCTATGTATAAGTGATTTCATATTAATTTAAATCATATTGTTGAATCTAATACATGCATTTGTCATATATTTGCGATATCTTATTGAGATTAAGATGCAAAATTTATTAGATTGGAAAAATTCTTTACAAAAATTCTTAAAAAAAGAAATTTGGGTTGGGTTACTGTACTGCGACTGAGTGTATTGAATTTGGATAAACTGAATAATTATTATATGATTTCATCCTTGAAGCAGGTTAATTTTAAACAAAATTCTGATTTGATTTGAGTGTTTACATAATGAGTTGAATATGGTTGCATTTCTATTCTATTAGTTTTAGGCATTTCAAGGCTGTTGACAATTCATAAAAATGTATCAACCACATAGTGGCTTGTTTCTAACTCTAAAAGTACTTCAGGGTTGTTTTTGGTCGGAAATTTTTGTAAAGGGCTAAGGTGATGTGATTCAGAATTATTGTACTCATGTCAACTTGCTAGCAAAGATACAAAATCGGCATCTGCATGGAAAAGCTTGATGCTATAATGTCAAAGATAAAATCTACATAAGTTATCAATATGCCATTGGAGCCTGGCCCATCTTACTCGGCCGGACCTCAATGGCACATCCATGTTATTGGGGCTGGCCCATCTTAAGGCCTTGGTTTTACCCAACTTGCAACTTCTGCGCATCCATTGTGCTTCAAGTATGAGGTAACTTCATAAACAAAAACGTAGCGCACAAGGCAGTGAGTATCTAGTCTAGTAAGCAGGGTAAGATCGTGATCAGGATCTCTCGATACAAATGGTTGGGGTAGGAAGTCGTTCATCTGGACGTCGTAAGAGACAACTCTCACGTCATCATGTGAGAGGGTGGTCATCGAGAGCTTTGTATACATGGGAGCACCAGATCAATGAGGACAGTGGATACACTCTCCTCTCCGTACAGGTGCTGTACCAATGGAGGAGTCAAAATGGAAGACACTGTGACAAAGCTCCAAAATGTCATGAAAACGTAGAAAGTAAAACTGCAGAATGGATGGGGAAGAGCCATCGAGTTGCACTTGGATGAAGTGACACTGTCACCATTGAGCTTGTCCCCAAACCTCCAAAATCTGAACAATGAAGAGCTAGCTGTTCACTGGTCGTATCGCTGTACTAAACCTCTTCTGTCTTAAAGGACCCGCGAGCGCAGTTCGATTGCTACTTTATCGGGACCGACGCAGCAGTGACTGCCTAGCTGCGGAGCCGATTGGAAATCTAAGAACTGAGTTTCTCTGCTCTTCACACGTTATGATGTCAATCTTGCGGATCGCATGATGTGCGACTGAGAGGAGAATTTGATGATCGCCTAGCCATTCCAGCTGGCTTCTGATCCTAATGTTCGAGAGTAATCTTACAAGTGGCTGGACTGGTCCTAACACGTTTGTGAGAGCCTCCTCCGTCCAGTATAATGCGGATGTTTTGTACAGCTTCGAAGCTTAAGGAAAAGCTGAAATTACTAAATTTTTGCAGCGATTTTTAAGCGATTATAGGCGAGTAAGGAGTGGGACCTCAAGCAGGAATTCTGTTCCCGACGTGCAGTAAAGAATGCCAAGCGCAAGAACCGCTCTGCAGTGACAAATGCATGAACGGCTCCCACATTGTGGCCCAGGCGATTGCAAGCTCAGCGACGCGGCGATCTAGAGCAGAGTAGAGGAGTAGATCGCTGGGAATGAGCAATGAACCCGCAGAAACTGACTCACGTGAATAAACAAGAGATATTTCGATATTCCCTCGCCAGCTTCTGCCACATATTGCAGGAGAGAGGCACACGTTGCACGCTGCCACTATGCAACACATTAACTCTCTCCCTTTCTGCAGAGCTGGTCATTAGCGAATGAAGTTGTGGGTCCAACCATTCTTCCCTGCTGGTGAGAGTGATTAGTCGATAATTAGCGGTCGGATCCTGATGCAGGGCTCTGGACGGTACTTCCAGGGGAGGATTGCAGAAGCCATTGTAAGTATAGCTGAAGGATCCTCTCGTTCCGGGCCTCTGCACCAAGTCCAACCAATCATTCTCAGACGCAGACCAAACATTTTAGCGGCAGGCTCTATCTGAGATTCAAACATTGATGGTGGTGCCCAGCAGCATAAAATCCCTGAAACGAGGGCCATATGGGAAAGGTTCGAACCTTGTGGTCCAGGCCAGTTGAGCGATACGGCGGTGAAGCATGTAGCATTCGGAATAAAAATGAGTTTTACTGAATGCGGGGGCACGAAAGGGTCAGAGCCGTGTGATTCTCGCTTGAACGCTTGTGGCAGTCGTCGAGTGGGGCAGTGCAGCCGCTTGAGTTGAGGAGTGCTGATGGATGAGGAGAATGGTGACAGAATATGTGATATGACGCGAACTGCTTTGTCTCCTCGCTCATCGGAGCAGCAGCCTAAGTTGCTGGAGGGAGCAGAAGAATGTACCACATTCTGTGACTCTGCGAAGCTTGAAATTGCCCCTCACGGCTTTTGCTCAAGAACAGGGTCAGCAATGCGGAAGCAAATGGTTTAAATGGGAGCATCGTCCATGGATCTCCTACCTCCTGCACTTCTAGCTGTGCCGTCTCTACAATTCAACTCCTGCTCTTCCTCGGAGGAGTTTCTCCACCACTTCTCCCAAGTGAATGGAGATTGCAATTGTTGGTTGACATGTGCAAAGCTCTGCTAGTTCAGAGCTTGCTCGAAGACACGGAGGTGGATTGTCTGGTGCTCTGAGTGTGCCTTCCAAGGCATCTTGTCGAGAATCAGTATCTATGGAGGGGAAATCAGAAGGCACAATGGATGACTTCGATTCTCTGACCAATGAGGCAGTGGACCTGGTAATATTTCGAGCAATGATACCAAGCCAAACTGCAAATAAGTTGGCACATTTTGCTTTTGTAATGACTTGTTTTCCGGAATTCTGGCCCCTGTCTGATCTTTCAGGTGTTTCTGTTTGATGAAATAACTAACGTTTCGTGTACGTGATTGCAGGAACATGTTCCCATTGAAGAGGTCTTTACTCAGCTTCGATGCTCCAGGGAGGGCCTTACCCAGGCCGAAGGGGAGTCTCGCATCAAGATATTTGGTTTTAATAAACTGGAGGAGAAATCGGTATGTGTCAACGTGAAACGAGCGCAGTTCTACTTAAAGAATGCTAGTCGGCCACTTCCTCACTGTCTGCAACATGTTCTATGTTTGTTTTCAGTGATATTCGTGGGCTTATTGTGATCCACTCCAATCATGAACTTCTGATTCCTGTCAGTTGATCGATGATCGCTACAATTGAGAAGATGAATAATAACAGGGCCCAAGAAATTCAGAAGATTCTTAGGTGTCGCAAGGAATTTGATTACTTCCTCACTCGACCTACCAAATAGCGTTCAGACAACCGGCAGGGTATTCATCATGTCCAAACGTCTCCAAATTTTTGGAAGAGCATTGGCATGCACAAATCTACCACTCAGAATTCAGAGACTAACGAACTTCATAGAATTTATAAACGACAACTTTCATGGGAATTTGTAATCAGCTTGACACTTGATGGACAGAAACTGATCACTGGTGTTTTCATGCAGGAGAGCAAAATTCTCAAATTTCTCGGATTCATGTGGAACCCCTTATCATGGGTCATGGAGGCCGCTGCTGTCATGGCTATCGCCTTGGCTAATGGGGGTGTAAGTAGCTTCTGTCCTTCGGCTGATATACGGGTCGTCATCACGATCGGCATTACAAATTTGAAACACTGTCAGAACTCGAAATACGTGTAAAATTTGTGGAGTAGACGGTGCTGCGAGCGCTGCATCCATCAAGACTATTTTGTGCAGTATATCATATGTTGATTTTTCCGACTGGAAGGAAAATCTAAACCAACCACAACGCTTGCATGCAATTTTACAGGGCAAGCCTCCAGACTGGCAGGACTTCATCGGTATCTTAACGCTTCTGGTGATAAACTCCACGATCAGTTTCATCGAGGAGAACAATGCCGGAAACGCAGCTGCTTCGCTTATGGCTAGACTGGCTCCTAAAACCAAGGTGTGTTGAAGTGTTCAAGACATGGCTAGCCCACCTCGCAAACGCTTCTCAGCTTTGAGGTAGACTAGCGCAACATTCCACCGAATATCATTGACACGCATAATCGCATGCAGGTGTTACGAGATGGAAAGTGGTCAGAGCAGGATGCCGTCATACTTGTTCCCGGAGATATCATCAGCATCAAATTGGGAGACATCGTTCCTGCAGACGCACGTCTTCTCGAAGGAGATCCTTTAAAAATTGATCAGGTTTGTACCATGTCTTCAATCGTTCTAGCGCTTGGAAACTGCCAAATTGTGTATGTACTCAGAGATCGCATTGCAGCTTCATCTGTACGATACTCAGTACCAATCGGGACCAACACATTTTACTGGGAATGAATGCAGTCTGCTCTCACCGGTGAGTCGCTTCCAGTTACAAAGAAATCTGGAGATGAAGTCTACTCGGGATCAACATGCAAGCAAGGTGAACTAGAGGCGGTTGTCATAGCTACCGGAGTCCACAGTTTCTTCGGAAAAGCTGCGCATCTTGTAGACAGCACACACCAAGTGGGCCACTTTCAGAAGGTAAGGATTGTGGGGAGCAGCAGCAAGCCAGGAGGACCCCGGCCCGAACATGAGGGAGGGTGAAGAAGAGGGGCTGCCCTGCTGGTGATGCAAGAGATCGTTTCCTGTCGCTTTTGCAGCTCTGATGTCTCCTACGTTCCCTGCAATACTTGGCAGCAGTTGAGATTATATTCGTGTATTCACCTCTCAATTCGACTCCTTGCAGGTGCTCACGGCGATTGGAAACTTCTGCATTGTGTCCATCGCCATAGGCCTTCTGGTTGAAATCATCGTCATGTTTGCGATTCAACATAGAAAATATCGGGAAGGTATCGACAATCTTTTGGTTCTTCTCATCGGTGGCATACCCATTGCGATGCCCACGGTTCTCTCTGTGACGATGGCCATCGGGTCTCATCGACTATCTCAACAGGTGAAACTGTGTGATGAAGCAAATCAGACTTGGATCACGACTAGTCTGCGCGAGTTTGAGCTCGTGTAACGCTGTTATCACTGTCTGACATCTGGGAGCTAGCTAGCAGTGATCGCTTCCTTGATGAGTATTAAAGGTTAGAAGCAGATTCAGATGAGGATGCTTGGAGGAAGTTGATAATGATATCGCCCATGATTGTGGCATGATTTCTCACTGCCGGCCGTCTGTAACTTTAGGGAGCTATTACAAAAAGAATGACAGCCATAGAGGAGATGGCTGGCATGGACGTACTGTGCAGCGACAAAACTGGAACTTTGACTCTGAACAAGTTGTCCGTCGACAAGAATCTCATTGAGGTTTACCCGCGTGCAAACTTTCAATTTACCTTCGCCGGATGTCACTGTGGTAGTCCAGACCTGCTGAAATTCTTTGCATTTGTCGATTTCTGTCCCTTTTGACCATAGCGCCTTTGGATGCAGTGTTTCACAAGAACCGCAGACAAAGACTTCGTGGTACTATCCGCAGCCAGAGCCTCCCGAATAGAAAATCAAGATGCCATTGATGCAGCGATTGTCAATATGCTCAATGACGTCAAAGAGGTGGGCTTGAACCTTCGGTAATCAGATGCGCTTTCAAATGCAATTTTATGAAGCTCGCCCCGAGTGTATGTGATCGTAGCATCACTGAAATTTTATCTCCATGGATGAATTTGTGCACCTACAGGCCCGTGAAGGTATACGAGAAGTTCACTTCCTTCCGTTCAACCCCGTTGACAAACGAACCGCCATTACCTTCGTGGACAGCGAGGGAAAGTGGCATAGAGCGAGTAAGGGAGCCCCGGAGGAGGTACGTGCGTGTCTGGAGAATGCGATTCAGATCTTCTGTGGCAGCATTCCTCTAAAATGTGGAGAATGTCATCAGGTAGCCTCACTTGCCAAAACATTCTCATGCTCTAGAGATGAACTCGTGCAGATCCTGGCGTTGGCGCAAAACAAGGACAAGATAGCCGCCAGAGTTCACTCAGTGATAGATAAGTTTGCCGAGCGTGGGCTTCGATCACTCGCCGTTGCAACGCAGGCAAGTCAATTTCATGTCCTGAATCGTGTGCTTCTTCTTCGCACAGGTCTAAAATATCGATACTTACATTCTTTGCGTACACAGGAGATTCCCGAGAAAACGAAGGAAAGCGCTGGAGGTCCATGGGAGTTCCTTGGCCTACTCCCATTGTTCGATCCACCTCGTCATGACAGTGCGGAGACCATCCGTCAAGCTCTCAATCTGGGAGTTAATGTCAAGATGATTACTGGTAAAAGCCCTCGAGCATGTTATGGAAGATCTTGATCAGTTATCAGAGTCGGGGTCCAGATTTTCCAGGTTCATGTCACTAATCGTATGTCCAGGGACCTTGATAGTTCCTGCCGGTATAATGTGTATTTGACTCCTAAATCTGGCTCTTGCCTCATGTCCTCAGGGGATCAGCTGGCTATTGCCAAAGAGACGGGTCGTAGGCTGGGCATGGGATCCAACATGTATCCTTCTTCAGCGCTTCTTGGAACCCACAAGGACGAGTCTGTTGCAGCATTGCCCGTAGATGAGCTGATCGAGAATGCAGATGGATTCGCTGGAGTCTTTCCCGGTAAATTAGTTTCCGCGAAACCTCACTTATCGGAGTTCTGGTAGTATTCAGATTTTTGGGTTTTGAGCACATTTGAGGTTTTTCGAGGGAGCTGCTGACAAGTTTGATGATGTGGATTGTTCAGAGCACAAGTACGAAATTGTGAGGCGCTTGCAAGAAAAGAAGCACATCTGCGGAATGACAGGAGACGGAGTCAACGATGCGCCTGCTTTGAAGAAGGCAGACATTGGAATTGCAGTTGCTGATGCCACTGATGCAGCGCGCAGTGCCTCAGACATCGTCCTCACTGAGCCTGGGCTATCCGTGATTATCAGTGCAGTGCTCACTAGCCGTGCCATTTTTCAGAGGATGAAAAATTACACGGTATGGGCTCAAGTGGATTTGCAATGACTTAAAGACTGGAATTGCTAATTACCACATATAATGCATAGAGAGTTGTGTGAAGGTTCCTTTTACATTCCGTGCAAGTAAGACTACCTGCTACTATATGGATCGAAAGCAAGTAAGTCCAGTCTTCGGTCTTCGTCCTCTAGATGTACTGAATTATGATTGTTGCTGTCTCTGACAGATCTATGCGGTGTCCATCACTATCCGTATAGTGGTGAGTACAGACTCTGAATGAACTTATTACTCGCAAGATGGAGATCACCTTCTTTGTAGTATGGATGTTGACCTGGAGCGTGTCGCCCTCATAATGAACACATTGACAAACGAATCTCTTGAAAGATCAACTAATCCAGATCTGTGTACCTTTCTCCAGCTTGGTTTCTTGCTGCTCACCCTGATTTGGAAGTTCGACTTCTCACCATTCATGGTCTTGATTATTGCCATCCTCAACGACGGTACGTAATAAGCTCCCGATTTTCAAAAGTCTATATAATCCAGCTTTACCCTGTCTCCCCTACTTACGGAGCATATGAATCTTGTAAAAGTCGCCCACCTCGTTGGACGTTGAAGAACTAAAGAGAGAGTATTTCGGAAATCACAATTGCAGGTACTGACGACACTTTATTGCAGGTACAATCATGACCATATCAAAGGATCGAGTGAAACCTTCTCCACTGCCTGATAGTTGGAAGCTCCAAGAAATCTTTGCACAAGGCGTTGTTATTGGTACATACCTGGCAGTCATGACGGTAGTTTTCTACTGGGCTGCAGAGAAGACCGACTTTTTCGAAGTAAGGAATATGAATTTCTATGACTTAATTAAGCTCAGCTATATTATTCCAGTGTGCAATTGAATATATGAAAATCACAGAAGGTTAATTGAGATAATGTACCTAACTTCAAACACGTAACCTGTACTTGTTTTCTCGTTCAGAGCCATTTTGGAGTACATTCACTAAGGGGACAGAATGAAGAGATGACGGCAGCTGTGTATCTTCAAGTTAGCATCATTAGCCAAGCTCTTATTTTCGTCACCCGATCCAGAAGTTGGTCCTTTATTGAAAGGCCAGGGCTTCTGCTTTTTGGAGCTTTCTGGATTGCACAGCTGGTATGTACCTCATATTTTGCCAACGCATAACTTCCAAGAGACCTCATCCCTATGTCATATTTTCTCCATATATAGCATACTGCGTTGTTGCCGGCCTCACATCGTTCATGTACAGCATTTAATCTCTGGGACACATGTCTTCAGGTTGCAACTCTAATTGCAGTTTATGCGAACTGGACCTTTGCTCGAATCAAGGGCATTGGCTGGGGCTGGGCCGGTGTCATCTGGTTGTACAGCATCGTGACCTATGTTCCACTCGATGTTATCAAATTCTCTGTCAGATACATCTTGAGTGGAAAGGCATGGGACCTGATGCTGGAGCCAAGGGTGAGGAAAAGCAAATTGAATTTACGCTGCAGATTTGAAATTGATCTCTAAATCCAGTATCAGGTGCATAGCATGAGTGTATGCCACATGAGAGATCACGGGTGCTCATTTAGTTGAATTGGTGGGTGCAGACTGCATTCACTTCCAAGAAGAACTTTGGTCAGGAAAATCGTCAAGGTCAGTGGGCACAGCAACAACGAACGCTTCATGGCCTTAGCGACCATATTGTAATTGGAAGGACAGGTTCCACTGACTTCAAAGGAATCCCAGAATTAGCTGGAGAAGCCAAAAGACGAGCAGAGATGGCAAGGTAAATCATAAACTTATCATCCATATGCATATTCGCACGAACTGGTCTAGCTGATTTCACTTTCTGAAAATGAATTTTCCAACGCATCTGACACACTTCCTGCTCGACTTGATGTCATGGTGAGCAGACTACGGGAGCTAAACACACTCAAAGGACATGTCGATGCGGTTGTGAGACTGAAGCAGATAGACATTGCAGCTATTCAACAAGCTTACACTTTGTGATCGAATAAACCAGTTCATTAATGCTCTTGTAGATAACGTACTCAACAAATTCATTTTCACATACAAGATTCATAACTTAGAAGAAACACCCTAGAGATATTGATTTCATTAACCTCATGGAGAAATATGTTGGTTTAGTGAACGTAGGTCTTTCAGGAGGCAAATTCTCGCACTCTTGCCGGTGTTTAGCTCTTGGAATTGAAATAAATGGGTCTCGTTTCTCTTACGATTCACACACAAGAACTGTTCCAGCTCTAACAAAGTGCGCGGTGAAGGTGCAGACCTAGTGAAATGATCTTCATCCTTGATCTTTTGTCTCACAAACTTAGGTTACGTAATGACATGATTATAATGTAGCTTTCTCATTCCGAGTCTAATCATACTAATTACTCCAGTGATGGGCCTTGGCCGTGTGGACGTAAGAATACAAATATCAGAGCAGACCACATTTCTAATCGCTCATTTTACTCCATGTACTAAAATTCAATTTGTTGCAGAATCCCAGAATCAGGTGGCTGTAATATTACGGTTGAAATCGAGAGACAAGCATGTACAGTGTAACAACCATTTGACGGCCAACCAAATGACGAGTCAACCACTCCATTTTTTTAGGACAACGTCAACTTTCTGAAACTGTCCAAGCAAAGTACCAACCTTATATATTTTCACCCTATTATTGTCTTGAAAAGCATTGACTATTCCCGGAAAGTATTTTGATCTGAAGCTGCACAGGCCTTATCAATTATTTTCTTAGGCATCTCGGCGAAGTTTTTGTTTGTAGCATGTTTCAGAATTCACCACGGGAAGTAACTGTATACGATATCATACGAAGGGTCACGGCCACTGAACTTTGCAAACGTCAATCGAGAAAACTGGACTGTTAAGAAACCAACGGTGTGAACCTTTGTTAAGGGTTCTTATATAATTTGTAACATTAAATTAGCTGTGAGTCACTGTCTTTCAGAATACTGTAATGTAGACCATGATCGAGTGTGAATGCACATCAACCACTTACATCGTCAAGAGAGACAAGCAGCAAGTCTCAGGTTTGTAGTATTAGCAGATATTTAGTGACAAAATGTAAAATATTCACTTGTTTCTTCGGATCATACCCACAGCTACCACTCTAAGCACACGTTCATCATTTGGCAAGTCCACATGAGTACAGTAAGTAAACATTTCATTATGATGAGAATGTTCAGGTGGCCTGTAGCCTGAGTTTACTGATCATATTTGTTCATTTACTGCCAACAATGCGTATCTCAGGTGTCAGTCTCAGGAATCTAACTTATTGTAATCTAAATCTAGAATATACCCGGCTAAAGATGGAAGGCGAGATTTATTCGCTTATTAGGCATGGATCGCGAGAAATTGAGCTTAAGCTTGATCTCATAGAAGCTGGTTTTGTTCTGATTCTCTTGAACAGTGAATGTCTTTATTTTTCTCGTGAATCTGATCTCAGGAGTCTTGTGAAAATTACTCTATTCGGGCACTTGGAAGCTAGACAAGTGTCACCGACGTGAAGCTCGCTTTCGTCATGACGTGGATCAGACCAAGAAGCTCTCGCCACTACTATATTCGTTTGCGCAGCTTTTATCATTGGTCTCATTCAGTTTCATCTTGAAGGCTGCTGGAGAATATCTCCGTAATTCAAATCAAGAAGTCATGGCAGATTATAAACTACGGCCACGGCAGAATATCCCTGCAACGGGATTTTGTCCGTTGCAGGGACAATTTTACCGTGCGGAACAAGGAGTTTTTGTTCCGTTCGGCAAAATTGAAACCTTCTGGTGATTTACCTGGATAAGTCGGGTTCACGGAACACGGAGGACACTGTCTTCATAGGCCTGTGAATCCATGTACGTTGTCACAGTTTCTATATGAACCTTTGAATTTGCCGTGGGGTTGGAAGAAATGCGAGAAATAAATTGTCACGTCTCTATACGGGGTTTCACTTGGAATAACACGTGGAAACAGCGTCCCAACAAGATGATAGTAACGGGCTGGTGCTCATCAGATTTCAAAACCAGGCCGGTACTTACCACCTTCATCATCCTGGTAGTATGTCTTTTGATGCAAAGTTAAAAGGACAAGTTTTTATGATCATGAACTGAACACTTTGGCTCGATGTTCCGGAAGTACTCCTCGCCTTGCCAAGCCTAGCAAAGTCAACCGGCTTGTTTAGTTTTACTTTCTTGGCACTATGGTGTTATTTATATATAAATATTTATCGTTAATTTGAGCATGTCCAATGCGTGAACTCCTCGGATGACAGATATCTCCCAATCTTAATCTGTAACCCGACTCCCTCTATTTGAAAACGATAGCGAAAGCTATGGGTACTGGGGTAATGGGTAAATAGATCAAGCCCGTGGGACCCAAAGGGTCAAAAGGCTAAATAACACAATACAAAAAATCCAACTCTTGATTATCCAACTATGCAATTTTTGGGTTATGGCTTGGAGTTATTGAAATTTTTATTTAGAGGATGAACTTTATGCTTGAAGTAGCGTATTTACATGTGTGGAAGGTAAATAGTAGTTTTTGGTAGTAGACTTTTGTATAGGTAAATTATTATCGACTTAGTGCGCTGATTGCGTGAAGTGGACTTTCCTCACGCTGTCGACTTAGTGCACTAATTGAGTGAAGTGGAGTTTACTCATGCAGTTAGATGCTCGGCAAGATGGCAATATGCTATCAGCATGGGATGATGTTCGCGTCGGAATCAATCAATCTCGTATCGACTGGTCAACGTAAGTAACATGCGGAGCAGCAATGGTACACCGTTGTCTTTTCATGCTGTCTTGTAATACCGACGGTTGGAAAGGTTTAGGAGTTCCAGAAAAACTTTTCATATTGTATGAATTAATAAATATCGATTTTTACGTTTTTCCTTGTGCTCACATATTATATGTCGATGAACTACTTTCCAGCTTTGAAAGAGTTATTGCTGTGTCTACCGCTGCGAAGAAATTTCTTAGAGGGTGAGTTGTGATCCCTAACATTTGTCGGTAGAGAGATAAACTACCTCGATAGTATAACCAGGGTATGAAATGTAGATGAGTATTCTGATTGAGTATTTAACTATTGGCCAAATAAAATTAACCCTTGAGACATTGAGCTGGTTATAGTCCGGTATTACGCAAATATTTTGTGTGGTTTTTATAGAAAGCAACAAACTCTTATATTTCAGTTTGTTTACGTCAAAGACGAATCTTTTGATGGTGTCATACATGCATGAGACGCATTTGGCTTAACACCTTCTTGTGCTATCATTCTTGCTCGGAAAACTATAAAATAAAACCTATAATATTATAGGAAGTTCGAAAGTAATTTCACTGACGAGGATTGATAGAAACGCCTAGTACCAGTAGCAGAGTCATAAATCTGAGGCCCACAGGAGCCCGTGAATTTCCTCGTCAACACCCATATGTTTCACCAGTCCACCGGAAATTCCAACATAACCTGGGACATTTTCATGTCCACTTCAGTAGCCTGGAAGCTCATAAGCGTGGCAAAATGTTTCCTCACGTTTTTGTGAAGTAAGAATCAGTCTCTCAGTCGATGGCTACCCTTACTGTTATGCAGTTCTATCAATCGTGGTCAGTGAAATTACTTTCGAACTTCCTATAATTTTAACTGGCGTAGGTGACGTGGGTGCCATTCACCAGCATGTATGTGAGTATTCGAACTGGAGCATAGCTCTTTATGATACCGTTTCAGGTACTTGATGTTTGTGAGAGGTTTCATATCTAATTTTATAGATAGTTGACTGCCACAATGTCTTTTTGTTTCCCCTTGCAGATGAGGAAGGCCTTACATGCAAACAAGACAGTGCTCTTCTGTTAATCTTGTTGCAATGAGTTTGTGCTTCTGACTTTAAAGTCATATTGTAAGCAAAGTTTTTCCATATTTTAAAACTTTCACTCATCTTACGCGAGAACTTGCTTCTACTTTACCTTTTAAACTCTTAAATTCACTCCGAAGGCTCTAAATTATGACTCCAACAAATTTAAAAGGGCTCCCTTCACGAAAGTGAGCATATTGAATCAGCTAACATCTTCTTCCTCCGCGTACGACATAATTACTGACCCTAGAGATGTAGAGAGCAACTTCACTAAAAATCGAGTCGTCAGAAAATCACCTGTTGAACTCTCCAACATTATCAACAGATCCTTGAAGCTTGTGGTGGTTGATGACTAAGTAATTGACGATTCCAAGCAAAATATAATTACTATGATTTTTAAGCAATAGGGTGTGGCAAGGGAAACCTCATACAATCCTGATTAGGATTGGAAAGACACCTTATTATGAAGCTTACGTTTAAAGTATAGAACTCGCAGGCCAAGAACTCACTTTACCTTTACATGTACTATTATTGCAAACTCAAACTCTTGTATGCATCGACATGGCCGCGGGAAAGAGCCTCCGAAACGAATGTAGCTGATCCATACTGCCGGTGGTATCTATTTACAGCGAAAGATCTACCAGGTTTTTCCACAGATTTTAAGTCCCGTGGATTCCATCATCGCTAGGCCTACAAAGGCACAACAATCTGCTGACGGAAGGTCATGGCAGATGGTCATAAGCGAAGCCATGAACGCGGAAGGTTGCAATTCGAGTCACTCCAGATGTGTTCACGAACATGCCTAGCACAAACGCATGAAGGCTAGGTCCAGTGTTAAAACGTTTCTGACAACAAATTGTGGAGCCGCTGGAAAATACCAGTTTAGAAGGAAACTGATTAATAATAAACGTTTCACACGGTCAACTTCTTCGAAACGAAAGCAAAAGAGTGCTACAATGCTCTCATCCATAAAATAACGCGCGATTTTGATAGGATCTGTAAGCCACCCACAAGCTCTAGAAATCTAACGCCATCACTTCAGATTTCAGATATTAATTGAGAAACTGGGCACATGCGAAGACTTCAATGGCAAGAGGCATCTGTACTCAACTCAACAGAATGAACCCATAGATTTGCATGACGAAAAAATTTTAAGGCCAACTACGTAAATAACTGCAAGTCATGCTTGCTGTGTTCTACTCGTCAACTCTTGGAGTTCTTACAGATCAGAGAGAAGCATTGTTTGTGAGCATGACGATACGAAGCATGCAGGGAGACAATAACGGTCAGGTTAGATTTCTTCCGACCTTAACTTCATCTGAGCTTTATCACCATCTAAAATCTCTGTGATTCTGAGTCTTTCCGTGAACATCTTCAAGAAAAGAT